ACTAGAGTAACACACTTGCACTTTTCGGTTCCCATGCTCGTCAAGATCACAATCTTTAGTAAGGTGAGGCTCGCTACAGTTTTCAGTTCCCACTCGGATGGCATGGATGGATTGGTCCATCTTTTTCATCCTACGATCCATGCTATCTAGTTTAGCCATCATTGTTGCCATATCATCGACAACTGAATTTATCACCCCTCGGGTTAAGTCGTGCCTTGGGTTATGATATTCTTTAGAGTGCTTAGAGAATTCTTCAATTAGCGCCTTTATGACCGCGAGTGCTTTCTTCGTGAGCGGTCCTTGGGAGTCAAGGAGCTGCCTAGTTGTCACGTTCACTCCATCATAGAAGATGGAGACTTCTTGCTGAATGTTAAGATCATTGTGGGGACAATTCCTCAACAAGCCCTTGTACCTTTCCCATGCCTCATAAAGTGACTCGCCTGCTTGTTGCTCAAAGTTGGCAATGGCTTTCTTCAATTTTGCTATTTTTGAGGGAGGGCAAAATTGATCAATAAACTCTTCATGCATTTTAGCCCACGTGGTGATGGATCATGGAGGGAGTGATTTTAGCCAATCTTTCGCGGCTCCCTTAAATGTGACCGGTAGCATACGAAGCAAAACAGTTTCGCGAGGAACATTAGGAATGTTGAAGTAGTCGGCTATGTCGTTGACCTCGTTGATATGCTTGTACGCGTCTTCGTGATCCTTCCAATAGAATGGGATGTCCTTGAGTTGGGCAAGTATGTGACCTTTGAGCTCAAAGTTGGCAGTTGCTGGAATCGTGGGTTGCATGAGTCTTGGGCGGGTATCGTCACGCATCCTTCTTTTCCATTCGCCCATGGGTATGTCTGCAATGTCACCCATGGTGTTGTCGGGTTCGCTTTCGTGCTCGCTTCCTTCTTCAGATTCGGTTTCGTACTCGGTATCCTCCTTCTTAGGGTCTTCGTCTATCAGTGTTGTGCTGGATTCTCCCACTTGCTTTCCCTTTTTCTTGCTAAAAACCGATTTGAGATTCTTGAAAGGTGACATCTTTGATTCTCCAACAGCTTTATTCTTGTCCTTCCTAAGACCTGATTCCGGGTTTTCAAGTGGTGGGATCAAAGGTGCGTTTGATCCACGGGCCATAAACTCCCTGAAATAAAACAGAAAAACACGCGTAAAAAAAACAAAACAAAGTAAAAAATGAAACTGAAAAACGCGATTGACTCGTTGAGTTCAGTCGACTGGACTCGAGGAGTTAGACTCTAAAAATTGAAAAAAAAAACTAAAATTCTAAATCTAGAAATAGAAAAACTAGTAACTTTGTATGAAATAAATTCCACACAAAGGATCGATAATACTAGAAATTAAAGTAACTATTAGAACCGATCCCCGACAACGGTGCCAAAAACTTGTGTGTGAAATGCACTAGTTTTAATCCTACTATTTTAAACACAAATTAAACACACGAAAGGCAGTGTACCTATCGATTAGTAATATAGTTCAAGCATGTAAGGTATCGAACTCAGGGAACGGTAATAATTAAACTAACTCCTAGAATTATCTAAATAAAAGCAAGTAATAAAAAGAAGGGTTTTCTCTAGTTTTGCAAGACTATAAACTTAAACAATTAACTAACTCTTCAAACAAAGAAAATTAACAATTAAACAAATATAAAAGAAACTAAATTCAATAATAAAAGAGACTTCTGTTCAGGTTCGACTCGCTTATTCCTATGGTTGATTTCATGGCAAGTGCAATGGATTAATTTATTATTGGCTACCGATTAATGTGATTAGATTCATGTTCACTATTGCTAATCCCTAGTAAACAAATTAATTCAAACAGTGGCCAATTGGTTAAACTAATAAGTTTCCTAGTATTTTGATTCAGATCAAGTAAGACTTCTAATGTTAGCTAATTAAATTTAGCAATTCAATCAACTCATGTATGGTTGTTCATCATACATGCTTACACATTAATGTACATATTTTATAGTTAATCCTAGGTTCATGCTCACTAATACTAGGCATACAATATTGTGATCACAAAATCATATGATTCAAGTAATTAAAAAGATGTTCATGCAAACTTAACAACTTAATTATGAACTGAAAACAATTATTATCAACATATAAGGGTCTTTAACAAGCTTAGCAAGGTAATTCACCAAATCAAAATTAATCCCAAACATAAAATCAAACCATATTCACAAGTTTATCTAGCCTAAACAAAAGTTATGAGTTTTTAGCTCATATCTACAGCAATTAACATCTCAAAAACGAAATCCAATAATAGAAACATAATTGTGTGCAAAAGATTACGAAAAGAGAATATGTTTTGCCTTTGATCTCTTCCAAATTGATCTCTAGGGTTGATCTTCGAATTCCAGAGCTCCAAAAATCCTTCTATTCGCCAATAAGTCGCCAAAAAGATCCAGAAAAACTTCGGGTCTCGGGCAATAATGCCCTTTATATAGTTATCTGAAAACAGGGGCAACTGATGGTTTGCGAATCTTCTCATCAACTCGTCGAGTTGAGGACCAACTCGCCGAGTTCTTCACTCTTTTTATCTTTATTTCTTCTAACTTTAATTCCCGAAATTCCGATCGCTAGTCCCGCTTCCTTTTTCACTTGAGCATGTCTTTTAAGCTGAAAATATAATTTTAACATAATTAAGTACCTTTTCTTCAATAATTGAGACAAAATAGCTAAAAAGTATTAAGATATTATACAGAATATATGACTAAATATGCACATATCAAAGCCCATACAAAATGATTGCCTAGGAAAAAAAAGGTCATATGCGGATAATGAAGAACCATAAGACTAAATTACTTGGGATCTTTGTGCCCATAAGAAATTGCGGAGCCACCCATTAATAGTAATAGAACTATGCGCAAAGTTTCCTCCTGTGATATTAGTTACTACTCTTTGATCGCTTATATTGCCCCAAACATCTAACTGCATTTTCCAACTAAAATCAAATATGACCACTGAAATTGAATTGTACATTCATAATAGCCCTAAGAAAATATGGTCCCAAGCTGATACTTGACATGTCTCCCCCCCCCCTTCCAGGCCCATCACAAGGAAAACAAAAACCAATATTTGCTTTATCCGATATCAGACAGGAGTTAGCTACAAGCAAATAGAACACCTTCCAGGAGTATCAATACTGTCACATGAACCGTAAATGCATGAATGTGATGTACCAAAAAATCCTCTATTCTTAATGGAATAGGTAACAAAGCTACCTTTCCACCTACTACTACTAAAACATCGCCACCAAGTTAAACTTGTGTTTGCTATTGCACCATGTGCTAAAGCTTTAGTGTTGTGTATCCAATGAGCAAAGACAAGTTGTAATTGGATAGCATTATCAAAACACATATCTTGAGGACGCCCTAAAGCACTCATGGTATCATTATGAATATACAAACCAAAACTATGAAAGCCTAGAAATATACATGCCTAGTTGAGATGTGATATGATTGCATCGCAATACCTAAGAACACGATCTAACAGATCGTTTTATCGATAGTTGGATCATAGTCTTTTACAATAAAAATGGTTGCATGTACATCAACACCAACTATGAGAAATCCACCAATCCACATATGATGTGTGAACAATGACAGTTGTGTACCATACTAAGTAGCTAAATATGGATAAGGGGGTATGCTATACATATGGTGAGCTACAACAATGGTTATAGAGCCTAACATAGCTAGGTTAAGAGATAATTGAGCATGCCATGATGTTGTTAGGATCTCATATAGGCCTTTATGGCCCCTAAATGGACCTTTATGAGCTTCTAAAATATCTTTTAAACCATGACCAATACTCCAGTTGGTCTGATACATGTGACCCGTTATCAGAAAAATAACCGCAATAGCTAAATGATGGTGTGTCGTATCAGTTATCCATAGACCTCCAGTTACCAGGTCTAATCCTCCACGAAAAGTAAGAAAGTCCGCATATTTTGACCAATTCACACTAGTACAAAAATAAGCTACGGTCACACCAAAAAAGTGTGACCATATGCATATAGTGACATTTTATTTTTTCACTGAAAATGTGACGGAAGGTGACGTCATCGTATGGGTCTTATGGTCACTTTAAAATGTAGTGTGTATATGATATGAAAACATGTGGCCGTATCATAAAAGTGTGACAATTGTGTAGGGAATTTTGTTCATAAAATCAATCATTTTATCCAATATTGTGGCATTAAACCGTCAGTAGACACACTTTTTTAGTAATTGTAGTAACTGTATATCGCCGACTGACGATATATATGTTGTTTCAATGTGGTGTTTTGCTAATAAATTGTCACACAATTCAAAGTTTATTAAAACTATTGAGTGTCTTTTGCAGACATGCAATTACGATGAACATGACCATGTTCACTAAATAGTCACATGTAATTACTTTCATAAGTGACGATTTGTTAATAATTAGTCACACAAACAATATTTTATTGTGACCATTGTCTATCGTATAGAGACACACAATTACGTGAAACATGACCGTAAGTGTTATAAAGACACATTTTATTAAAATTATGGATTTAATATTAGTTTACGGTCATATTTGCATTACTTATCATGACCGCTTCTTTTATTCAGACATATAAAAAGTCATAAGTATGACTATTTTATGTCATTTCGACATAGAAAATCAATTAAAATAACCACAATTGATTTATAGAAAAAATTGTGTGACTAATATTTATATAAAGACACATAAAATATTGTAATTTTGGCGTGACTAATTTTTATATATAAAGCCACATGAATTTTGTTTAATATGGTGTAAGTAATGTTTATGTAAAGCTATAGTTATCAATGGACATAATATCCATTTCATTTCCAATTTTTTGTAAGATAAAAACAAAAATAAACATGTTAAAACTTAAAAGAAAATGATATTAACATTAATAAAAAAAATCAATAAGTTTTCAATTCAAATACTAAAGACATTAACTTGTAATCAAAAGATATATATACAAGACTTTACACATAAACTAAGAACTATATCTCCAACATTGTTGTCATGCCCTCTAACGTTGTATAAGTTTTCTTTTTTCTTCTTAGAATCGTGCAGTTCCGTGTTTTAATTTTGATTGGATGGTGGATTTGGTACCTGGAGCAACAAAAATTATAGGTGTCAAACATTAAGATAAATATGAATAATTAACTAGTGTTAATGTGTTATACTTGTGCATTAGTCGACTTGACCAATGTAATCTTTAATTTCTTTTATTTCATCATACTTTCATTTTTTCCTATTATAGTATTGTCCATATAAGAAAAAATATAGAAGTATAATGCTATAATTGGATAGAATTTTCAAAGTATAATGTCCTTATAAGAAAACGTTAGAAGTATAATGTTGTAATAGATTAAGAAATTGAAGTAAGAATTTAATTAACTACTTACATCTTTTGCAATAAATCCATCGAAAATGTTGATGGTTTTCCAAATACATTTACCTCTTTCTTTGTTGCCCCACAAACAGCAACAACCATGTACCCAATACCTAACAATTCAACACATTAGAATTAATTACCATATGACCCTTAAATCAACATGACACCCAATTTTTGAAAAATCAAATAGCCAGGACTAAACATGTTGAACTTCATTACATTGAAACCAGACCCAAAAAGTAAAGGTGGGATAAAGACTCATGCTTGATATTTGAGTGCAAAAGATGTGAATGCCCTTGATTCTTACCTGGCCATTCTTGTAAATCAATCATATTGATAATGATACCACTGTTAGTAGCAATGAAAATGCATCTTGGATTATCACGAATGCAAAGAGTTGCATACCTGTAAATTACTCACCACTTACATCTTTTTATAAATTTAACTTCAACAAATAGATATAATTCAAGAACACTAGGTATATAAGATGTTATTAAAATGAGTAAATGGGGTATCTTATTGTATTTTGTCATAATTTACATTTGTATCATGTCCAACCACAACTGCTCCAATCTGCATCATAACTTAAAAAAAACTACACAGGAATACATAATTAGATGTAAGCAAGCTATTTCGGAAGGAAAATATTAGTTTAAAATTTTCATATACTTTGAACACTTTTTCAAGATGCTCAAGCTTTCCGATATAAACTTGTTCACATTCATCATCACCATCTTCATATAGCCACTCTTCGGTTTTTTGCAGACTTTTAGAGATGATCTCTACCTATGAATCTGTTGCAATGTTCCGATAGGAACTAAAAAGCTAAAGTACAAATATTCTATCAGATTGTAAGCAATATATATAATCAAAAGTTAAACAACACAAATAACAAATTTGTGGAACCACTTATCAAAAACATCATATTTAATCATATTTAAACATGGAGGATGAAATTGCAATCACCATGAACATGAATGGAAGATCAACTCCTAACTTATCAACAAAAGTATCACCTAATCAACAATCTCAAATGAAACGTGTTTAGGGATTATCTTTACACTCGATTATAGGGTTCTAAACTCTTGTATCGTTGAGATGAAGACAAAAAAAACCGATAAAACACCATTGGGGATATGGGGCTGTTTCATAAGAAATTCTCCGAAAAATGATTTGACAGGAGACGGAAGGAGCCTATTGGCATCAATCCTAGAATTCTTGGTTCCATCTCATCTCAACTCGTGATCTGACTTGGCACCTTATGCCCAGATCGACAATTTTATATTGTTTTCTCCACAAAATCGTCAGTACCTGGATTATGAAGAGAAGACGTTCATACTATTTTGAAGCTGCCAACAGAGGATGAACAAAGGGTAGGGGAAACTGATGACGATGTGGGCTAAGGCACGATGTGGAGGAGCCAAGGTGGAGGGACAGATAGGTAACGATGACCCCATGAGAGAAAAACGAATAAATGAACCCTAGTGGTTTAGATTATGCTGGGGGTAATGGGAATTTGGAAACCTAAGTGGGATACGAGTTAATTTTCAATATTCGGGATTCACATCTTCGATTTTAAATTTTTTGAATATATTCAATTTGAAAGTTTTGACAAATCTTTAATTTTAAATATTTTGAATATATTCATTATGAAAATTTTGATATATATATATATATATATATATATATATATATATATATTACTCCGAAAATCATATAAAATATACTTTCAATAATCTATTTCTTTTAAAAAATATCCATCCATATATATATATATATATATATATATATATATATATATATATACACACACATATGTAACTGTTACAAAAAATTGCATATGTCACATGAAAATGGTTATTTAAATTATAGGTGGTGGAGGAGATGGTTGTGACAGAGGTGGTGGTAGTGGTAACATCAGAAGATGTGGTAGTGATGGTTTTGATAGTAAAGGGGGTCAATGAGGAGGTGGTGTTGACTAATTGTGAAGACGATGATGATAGTGGTAGATGTGGTATTGGGTGGTATATGTGTGAGGTAGGTAGGAGTATATGTGTTGGCATGAAGTAAGTGGATGGGTTGGTAGTTAAATTTTGAATATATCTGGAACAACTAGCACATTTAAATTGTACTACTAATTAACTAAACTCAAAATACATAAACTTAAAATTGGAATAAACTCAAAATTGAAGGGTCAAATATGAGTATAGGAAGGTGGTAGGAGGTTGGCGTGGGGATAAGATATGTAGGTGTGTGGTATGGAGGTATAGGTGCGGTGAGCCGATAGGCTAAAATGTGGGCTTGTGTGAATAGTCATATAACAGGTATAGGTGTAGGTATACATGTAGGTATGTATGGGATAGGTTTGTGTGTGGTTGGCGATGTTGGTTATATGTGGTACGAGTGGGCGAGTGTGAGAGTGTGGTTATGGATGTAGGGTGAGGTGGGTGATATGGGTGTGGGTGTGGGTGCGGATAGAGTTTGGTAAATGGTTGGGTGGGTATGGAATGTGGGGTGTGGAGGTGGTTGAGGTGGAAGTGAGCCTTTGCATATAAGTCGAGACCCTAAGTATGCCTTATGCCTTATGTCATAAGCCATATACCCTAAGACTGCGACTTAAGCCATAAGACATAAACCATAAGGTATAAGCCATAAGCCATAAACCATAAGCCATAAGCTATAAACTATAAGTTATACCCTATAAGCCCTAAGCCCTAAGCCATACGATACAATCCCTAAGACCTAATCCCTAAGCGATAAGCCATAAGGAATAAGCTTTAAGTCATATGATCCAATCATAGTCCTCATGCCATAAGCCTTTAATCCTTAAGCCATATGCCCTAATATCCAAGCCATAGGCCCTAAGATATATGTCACAAGCCTTAATCCACAAGCTATAAGCCATAAGCCTTAAACCCTAATACATAAGCCATAGGTCATAATACCTAAGCTACGAGCCTTAAGCCTTAAGTCATAAGTCGTAAATCATTAGCCATTAGGCCTGCCCTGTGCTAACCTAAATCATAAGCCATAATACATAAGCCACAAACCCTAACTCATATGCATTAAGCCATACAACATAACTCATAAGCAATAACCTATAATCCTTAAGCCATAATCCCTATGACATAAACCATAAGTCATAATTCATAATCCATAAGCATTAGGCATTAGTCCGAAGTCATAATTTATAGGATATTACATCGCCTCACTAATGGACCTCTCTGAGTCATTTTCTCTTTTGTTTCTCATTAGTATAATCTTGTTGCTTCATGGTCACCGGTTAGGTGTTGCGGTTAATTATCTTTTTTATACACACCTATACTCACTCACATGCACACAAACACACATACACACACTCTATCTCTCTCTCTCTCTCACACACACACACACACACATATATATATATATATATATATATATATATATATATATATATATATATATATATATATATATAATTTTAATAATAAAGTCTTATTTAACCTTTTTAAGTGGTTAATTTAAAACCCATTCAAACAAAAATTTAAGCATCAGACATCAGCCACCCCCAAATTGATTCTCCCGCTCTAAATGACAACATTCACCGCCAATTTGGTGTGTGTGTTCCCAAAATTCAGTAAGAAAGAGATATTAGAGATGAGATTGAGAGAAGAGAGGGTGAGGTAACAGAAGAAATCAAGGGAGAAAGAGAGAGATTTAAAAGGAGAAAGAACGAGATCTGTGAGGGGAAGAGGCAGCGCCCACCGACACTGCTGCAGAGGTCGACCCACAACGACAAAAGAGCGACGAAGTCACCCTGAAGTTGTGGTGGAAACCAAAATCGTTCCTTTGTCTGTGGTCCGCCCCGTACAGTTCCTCATCGTTGCTCTGTCCTGCGCTACTCCACTCAACCCTAACTTGTCTGCCCTCCACATTAGAGATTGTATGTTCTCTATTGATTATTTTAATTGCTAACTTCTAGCTAGACCTAATATTACAAGTTTTTTTTATATACAGAGGTTTCAGCATCAATGATTGTTGGAGTCGATTGTCAGATATTTCTTCTTTCCGATTCCAGGTATGCCAAATTTCTTTCTTTCTAGTAATTTTTTTTGAAGTTAAAGATAGTTATGGTTCTGTTTGTTGATTAAAATTGACGATTGCAATATGAAATTTCATTACCAGAGAGTGATGCTTGAGAAACACCTAACTGGCATCATGTTGATCGATAAAAATGTTTAATGGTTCTATACTTTATTTTGTTAAATCAATTATTCATTATGATGGTTATCAACTAAAAGTTCATCTTTTAATGAAAGAAAGATTATAAATTTGATGCTAACTTTATAAAGTTGTGCCTTTTTGCCTATTTATTATGATGGTTATCAATTAAAAGTTTAATCTTTTTGTTATTTTATCATAATCTGGTTATATACTATTAAAACATTTTTATGAAGCTTCAAATTTGCTTATTATTTTTCTTCTGTTAATTTATATAACCTGTGCATTGTCCACACATTATAGAACTAACCATTTATTTGAATAACTGAATCTAACATGTTTATTACTTGCCACTTGCTTATATTAAAGTACCTATTTACCTATATATGTTAAAGCTTTGTTTCTTTAGTTAATATGCAGACACTCCCTGTATATGCTAAATCTATGTTTCTTTTCGTCATAATTTTATATAATTTGCAGTTACAGCCATAGACAATTAAGATAAATCAAGAAGACTTGGATATTATTTAGTCTTTAAAACTCAAAACCTACAAAAGTCATTTTTTTTCAAAGGGAAAATTGCAAGTAATGGATATATACTTTACTCTCGGAAATGTACTTTGTTTTTTTATTCATAATAGGCATATGTTATCAATTTAAGAATTATATTTTATTTTTCACATATTGTTATTATCAATAAAAAGATGTAAGCACATTTCTATTATGAGTAATAAATTATAAGTATGTTGCTGTTATGGGTTGCAAATTGCTAGTATCGCTAAAAAAGTTGAAGTGTGTTGCAATTATGGGTAAAATGTAAAGTATAATGCTAGTATGGGTAAGAAATTGTAAATATGTTGTTAATTTGGGTTTAATACTGTTGTTATTGATATTTTTTTGAACTGTGTAGCTTTTATGGTTAAGGAAATGAAAGTAGATTGCTATTACGAGTTAAGAATGAAGTAAGATGCTAGTATGGTAAAAAAAAATAAAGTCAATTACTTTTATAATTAAGGAATTGTAAGTGTGTTGTTATTGTAGGTTGCATATCGCTATTATCGATTAAAAAAAATAACTTGAAATCTGTTGCTACTATGAGTAAAAAATAAACTATATTACTTATTAGTAAAAGAGTAAAGTACATTGTTATTTATGAAATAGAATAAGGAAAAAGAAAAAGAAATGGAACAAGAATTTGGACATATTTGTGATTAGATTAAAAAATGGTTAGGTGGCAAGGTTACTAGTGTACAAAGTTCAAATCGGTTAAAGACTCTTCCTTGTGAAATTTATGGTTTCCTGTCTAAAAATTAAGTACTTTTAGTTTTTGTTGTTATTAACGTACAATAAGTTGAATTTTACTCAATTTGATTGTAATTTTGATTTTGCAGGTTTTGCCATTTTGGATGAGCATTTGTGGATATTTGTGTGTGTGTTTGTGGTGATTCAAATTTGAATTATGTGACAATATTTGTAATTAATATTCAGTTTTGATGATTAGGTAACATTGTGGAAGGATTTTTGATAATGTAATATATAAAAAATCGATGTAACTAATGAATTTATATTTACTACATGTTTATGCATTTTTATATATTTTTATGAATATGATAATCACAAGTTTTAAATACTTTTATTATCAATATTAGACATACATACGAAATTAAATTGTGACCATCAATTACTAATAGTCATATGTATTCTTCTTTCAACATGATTATTATTTACTTTTAGACACAAAAGTTACGATAAAATACTTGAAGTCTAAGTTTCTTTTCATTTGAAACATGACCATAAAATATTTGTCATTGTATGTTTTTTTATTGAACAATGACAATAAATTACTTTGTGTTTGGCTCTTGAGGGTTCAAAAAAGGATAGTTACTTCCATAAAAGAGAAGAAAATGTTTCTCGCTTCAATGTGCATGCTAGTAACTACTTTGTATGGTGTTTCGGCCCCAAATTGACATTAATAAGTAACCAATACAAAAATAATGACCATTACATAACTATAGTCACCAATTCAATGAACATATTATAATTATACTGATCGGACGTTATATTTCTTCTAACTAGATTTATTTATAAACACACATAACAATTGTAACCATAACCAAATGCAACTTAAACTCACAAAATTTGTTTTTTTGCAAAGCCAATTCATCATATTTTGACACACAATAGAAGACACATAACCATAAACCACTAAAAGTAACTTGTTTTCTTGCTTTTACTAAGTCACTAGTAAACGCCACCTTATAAACACACAAATATTTAATGTGACCATATGTATCACCTGTTAGATACATTGGATTTCATGTGTCTAAATAGACACCATGATACAGAAACATATACAATTGCCTTATGTCACCATATATTTATCTATTGTCTCTTATAAAAAAAGTATCATAATGTTAGTATGTAAATGTGGTTGATAGTGACATATGGCCACGGTGTTCGAGTGTAGCTAATAATTGTCACATTTGATATAATTAAGTGTGGTTAAAGTTTTGATTATCTATACCATGGTCACACAAACTAATTTAACTGTATCCAAAAATAGTCTCTAAATTTTTTTGTTGACCTTTAGCCACACTTTTAATAAAAAGTGTGACATACCGTTTTTCGAAAAGTGTGATCGTAGCTTATTTTTGTACTAGTGTCAAAGGTGAAAAATGGGGTTGCTCCCGTGGAAAAATTGGGAGAAAGTTGAGGCAAAAGATCCCGATTTAAGATAAATTCATGAGGGAGTGGTATTTCTTTAGGATATACTCCATCGTTTAGAAATTGGTTAATCGGTAAAGATACATGTACTTGATGCACCACCCAAGAGAGAGACCAAATTCTTAGTGACCACACTAAATGGTGATTCAACATAGATTCTACATCTTGAAACCAAGCCATCTTTGGAGTAACTTTATTATAATGAAACCAACCAGCAAAAAACATTAATGCCGCAAAGACCAATGCACAAACTACAATACAATAGGGTTGTAATTCGCTAGTTATTCCAGATGCTCACCAAAGCTGAAAAAACAGAGGTTATTTGTATTCCTCGGAAGCCCCCGCCTACATCACCATTCAATATTTCTTGGCCCACTATTGGCCAAACCATTTGGGCACTAGGCCCAATATGAGTTGGATCGCTTAGCCATGCTTTACAATTGAAAAAACGAGCACCGTGGAAATACATGGCACTCAGCCAAAGGAAGATGATGAAGAGTTGACCGAAATGCACACTAAATACTTTTCGAGAGATCTCCTCCAAATCACTGGTATGGCTATCGAAATCATGAGCATCAACATGTAGGTTCCAAATCCAAGTGGTAGTTTCAGGGCCTTTAGCTATTGTTCTTGAGAAACGACCTAGTCTAGACCATTCCTCAAATGAAGTTTTTATGTGATCCCTATCTACCAAAAGTTTTTGGTTCCGGCAAAAGAATAATCATTGAGTCCTCCCTTTTTCCGGACAGCACACACAAAGACACCCGCCAACAGTCAAATAATTAGTGAATCTCGGAGATATATTTCTATTATATAATTAGTTTTTTTGTGAATCATGTTATGGAAAGTGGTATTAATGGATTTCTAGTGGAAATCGTTATGGTGACAATGGGTTTTCCGACGTTGGAAGTAACCAAATTTGTACTTTATTTCATATAACATTGAATCATGTTCCTACTTACAATGGGCATGTATAAAGGTAATACTGTTTATGATGTTTGTCCAACATTTGATGTTGATGACTCTACAAATGATCAGGTAAAACTAATGTTGTTGGTTGATGATGGTAATATAATTCCACATGGAAACCTTTTTTTTTTCTTTCTTTAACTTACGGTGCAATTTTTAAAGTTTGAAAATATATGATTCCTGAACCTACGTTTCTTAAAAAAAGTTTTGAAAATTTGAAATAATTTTTTAGAGAAAACAATTTTCGAACTTGATGGTCATTTTCAAAAGTGGAGAAATATTTATTAGCTTCTTAACACTTAAAAAAATAAGGTCACAGGGTAAGTATCCCATTTTTAAAAGGTCCCTTGATAGTGAATTTTTTTATTTGTATGTATAGTTGTTTTGTAGTAATGTTATGCGTCACTTGCATACCAAAACAAATTGTTACCCTTTTATGTATATATCCGATTTAAAAGTAACCCTTCTTAAAAGATCTTTTAAAGATTTCTTCTTTTTTTAGAACTGCAAACACACTCAATATCTTACTCCTAAAATCTACATCTTTGTCCACCACAAGGTTTGAACCCTCAACCACTTAGGAAAAGACAACTTTCGAACACACATTAATACTGGTAGGCGAAAGGCATTTTGGTATTAGTTCTATTTGATAGGTTTTCCATGCATTTATACACTATTTTTTTTGGCAACGGAAGCAATTAAAATAACCTTAAGTGTACATGTAACTTAGGATCTAGGTTTTACAAGTTATAGCAACATACTTTTAAAATCCTATAAGAGAGATAGAATTACTAACCTTTAAGCAAAATCGAATATGCTTCTTGAAACCTTGTAGATCTCGAAAAACCTTGAAGCTTTTGGAAGACTAGCACCCAAAGTAGAATGCCTCTAAAGGACCACACCTAAAAGACTAACACACCATATTATAAGGAGAAGGAAGAGTAGACTTATAGAACTCAAAATTCTCAGATTGCAAGCAACCAAGGATGAAATTATGAAGGTCGGGAGGGTCTATTTATAGCTGAGTAAACTTGCAAAGAAAACATATCTGAATTAATTAAATAATCATATTTAATCTCAATTCGAATCCCTACCTTATCAACTGCTAGGGACGAAATCCTATGAGCTTTCTCTCTTCAAAACCATCCACCCTCTTAGGATACAATAATATTTACTTGCTCAACTATTAAACAATTAATATTCAGTCCACGTACCTTTAAATAATTTCCTGATTAATTCAAATTAATTTTAATTAATTCTAACAAGTTTCTAATTAACTTATCAAGCTATGATAAATTAACAAACTATTTATCTCAATCTCTTAAATCTTTTTCTAGCTATTTTAACTCTTGAGGGAAACCCTAAAAGGACTTTGTTATTATTCCCAAAGTTATACCAATTAGTTATGACATTGGACACCCATTTCCAACAGTCTCCCACTTGGACAAGTCATCAGCTACTATTGGTCAAATAATCTTGCAATAACCAACAAAGTGTGTCTTCCAAGAAAACTGTCGAACTCTGATCAAATCAGGATTTAGCCCTTAGATAAGTGATCAATTATTCATTTGTTTCTACAATATATCTGATTGAACCGAGTTATAGATTTATGAATTAACCTTAGAGTTCAAATTATATTTCTCGATTAACGATTTATGATGACCAAAATCAGTCTACTAATTGAACCCATCAATTTAGTTTGGGCTAGGCCTGACACAATAATGTCAACATCAAATCACCGAGGGGCCCATGATATTCCTTTTCCCATTAAGGCGAAAGGAGCAAATAAACTTTGAATGCACAATTTTTGTATATGTTGGGTTTTATTTCAAAAATAGTTTCTAAAACTCAAATATTTAACAAATGGAAGACTTGAAATTTCAAAAAAACATAAGCTAGTTATAACCCACAAAGGACCATCTTGCAAGTAATAGAAACATAAAACACCAACCATAGAAGAGATGAAGAAATAACGAACTTTGTTGTTCTTTGGGTCCTCTAAGGGAGGCTTGGAAGTTGATGGAAAATGATGAACATTTTAAGACATCAACAAGACATCAACTTGACTTAAAGATGCTAGTCTTTGTAGAAACTCTTAAGCTTGAAAGTAAAACCTAAGTATTACTTTCAAGAGAGCAAAAGCACGTAACTTCAAATCTTCGTATCTTTGCTAGAGAGAATAAGAGAGTAAGAGGGAGGAGAATTTGGGCAAATGCAAGAGAGTGTCCCTCAAATGAAATCCACACTCTAAAGCACCTTTATCTCCTTCTCTTAGCTACCAAGAGAACCAAAAGGGCCAAGAATCACCAGGAGAGGCAAGGGTCAGAGTTTATGAGTCTAAAGAGTGATGAAGGTTGGGGATGAGCAAACCCTAGCCGTAACTTTTCTTTAAATATGGCTCAAACCCTAAAAATTAGGGTTTTAGACATTAGGTGGTCGCCACGCCGTGGCATCTAAAACCAAATATGCGTTTATTAACACTTCGCCACGTTGTGGTGGTACCTCCACCACGTTGTGGCAACCCTAAAATCATAATTTAACTTAATTAAAATATACCGCAAGGTCTGGATGTTACACCATTATTATTATGGAATACACCTACAAACAACACACAATGATATTTAAAAGAAGTATGAAGGGTAAAGAGAAATATACATAAGTTCGTAGATATAACTGATTAATAATTAAGTAAAGTGGAGTTGTTGATTATATGTAGTTTGCTATCAAGTAGAATTTACTTGGCTTATGGATGCTAACACTAGATTTATCTCTAAAAGTCACATTTACATTTTCGAGCAACTGCTTAGATAAATTTTATTTGGTTGATTCCTCACCACTGATTCCGACACCAATTGCAAATT